CTCTCTCTCTCTCTCTCTCTCTCTCTCTCTCTCTCTCTCTCTCTCTCTCTCTCTCTCTCTCTCTCTCTCTCTCCACGTCTTGTTATGGCAGGAGTTGCAGACACGCAGTACCACCACATCTTGAGTCTTGTCTCATCCGTCAGAACAACAGAAGTGTCACCCCGAGATAGGTTTGCAAGGTCCTCACCATGAAGCTCGCGATTGTGTCTGCGGGACTAACACTTCGAATTCAAAGTCCTGTACGTTGTTGCTGTTGTTGTCGACCACACGTATGTCTCTCCTTGTATTCCCTGCTTTGTAGTACCATGTCGCCACATCTGCCACGCATGTGTCGTGGTCGAGCTTGAAAATGCAGAAACTCATAACTATGTCCCGGCTCCGGGCTGTATTTACTATGTCATTCTTTATAGTGGTCATTTGCACCAACTGATCCGATGCCTTGCTTGACTTCTTTATCTGTTCTATTTGTGAGCAAATCACGAGTTCGTTGAACGCTAGTTGCTGCAACGTCACGCCGAGCTTCCCGCCGTCTTTTCTTATTTTGAACACTTTTGTGAGTGCCCTCTTGAAATGTTCCGCTCCCCATGGTTCGTCGCCCTTCCTTCTCCATGTTTTGTCTTAATTCATCTGGCTACGTAGTTCGTTTCGCACGGTGTTATTGTGATCCGACTAAGCGCCACGTACGAGGGGGACACCTCTCTCTGCCCAAAACCAGTGTCTCAAGTGCCAAGTCAACTCTCCATGGACCGTTGTCATCATTCGGTTGCACTCTATAAGCACACTCCGCAAATCGTTCTCCTCTACATACTTCCCTCACCCTACCCTCACATTTTCTCCTAAAAGGGTAGCAACCAACTGCAACACATTGAAGAAGTCGTCCTCCGAAGGGTAGAATGTTGCGTCCCTCGTTGTTGAGTGCACAAAAGCTTTTGCAACAGACTTCATTAGTCTGTCTTTTTTTGTTTTTTTCCAAATAAGTAGCATTCGTCTCCCGTGCCACCTGCCGAACGCCTAGCCTCTTTCGAGTCCTCGTTACGCCGTCTCCCTCCTTGTATAATCTGGCGGCCTGCAACAATGCGTGTCAACAACCACAAGTTCGAAGTTGGTATCCACCACATTCGTACATTCGCTTGGCAGGAGAAACAACCGCAACCGCACTTACTTATTTGTAGCCTATCTCATATTTTCTTATCGAACAACGTATATAGTTCGCTACCATTTTGCACTACCGGCACGCAACGACAACAGTCTGAGCAAAACAACATGTTGACTGGCCACTTGTGTTCGGATATTTTTATTTTTCTCATACATTACGTACTTACGTCCTTCAACTGTCTTCTCCTTCATAACTAACTGCTTGTCGGCGTTGCTATCCTCCCTGCGTCCGTCACTTGTTCCTCCTTGCGTTTTTCGAGACGTGTTTTGTGTATTGTCTTCGCTACACTTTTCTTCCCTGCTGCTGCTCCGAGATGGGTCTTCCTCCTCTTCGTCCTCGCCATCGCCATCCTCTATGTTGTTATACCCATTCTCGMTGTCCTCCTCTTTGTTGCTCGCATCTTCTCCGCACGATTATCCTTCGTCGCATGTGCCGTCGTTACGTCCTTCACCGTCCTCTCTCTCATCATACGGGTCGGACCTTTGCGTCTTACATGCTATGTCCCGTGAAACGTCTCGTTTCGGTGTCGGCTGCCTCAACACCTTCGGATCCCCTCAGATCAATTGTCTCCTGCCCTTCCTCTTCTCCCTCAATGATTCTCCTCCTCTTCGCATTTGTGATGTTGTGCCGAGGTTGTCCTTCCACCCCTTGTGCACATAACCTTTTCTTCGGCGCCTGTGGCGGAGATCGCTCCTGTCGCATGCGATTCTTCGTGGATGTCGGGGAAGCGGGGGCCGACTCTCGTTGTCGTTTATTGGCATCAGACCTGTTTGCTTTCGGCGGCGCAATGACCACAGCACAGTCCGCGTGTGACTTCATCAAAGGTGATGTCTTGCTTTTTTCGTGTGGCCATCTCTRGAATTTCCCCTTCTCTTTCCTGACCGCAGTCTTTTCGCTCAGGCGTGCTGGTGGCTGTCTTTCCTGTACTTGCTTTAAGGACGAAGCAAGATCTTCGTACCTGCGGCGAGGTGCCATTGCAAAGCTACATGACACACACAACATTCCAGTTATGAGCTATTTACTCAAACGCTCCATAATGTATAAACAACTTTTAAGTGCGAATCAGCCTGAATATTGTTGAAGAAGAGATAGAGAGAGAGTGAGATGTTTCTCATATTATATGCTGACAGGAGAAGATTTCACATTCATGCAAAAAAATAAACAAAAAGTGGCGCAGTCATTATTCTTCGCCAACTTCCTCTTAATATAGAACTACAGTCGTCCTCCGCTTTTCTCTCTCTGCTCCCTCCTCCTCCTCCTCCACCTCCTCCCCCTCCTCCTCCTCCTCCTCCTCCTCCTCCTCCTCCTCCT